GATTACGAGTCGAGTGCCTTAACCACCTGGCCATGCCGGGCCATCTTTATCCTTAAAACAATTGAAGTTCCATTATGGAACTTTAAAATAAAAATACATCACCATCTTTTAACGTATCTTTTAACAGTTGCAGGAATTTTTGCTGAGATTATAGTAACCTAAAACAGGTTTTAGGATTGCTTCGTGTTTCCTATAGTTATATATATATATATCCCCGAACATGCTCGCTCTGTCAACACTGGGAATGTAATAATGTGGCGGTAAATCCCACTTGTCGTTAGTAAAGACTAGCCTAACAGTTGGCTGTGGGTGGTGTTGACTAGCTTCCTACTCTACATTCTATCACTTCAAAATTAAAAACCCCACCCCCACCCACCCTAGTGTCAGGTCTGAAGGCTTACAAAGCTAAAAACCGGACTTCGACATCCGTGGAGCAAAAACATCCTATAGTTTAGTATTACGCTTAACAACAAACAAACAAACAAAGAAAATTAGGGTATGCTAGCGCATATAGCTTTGCGTGAAATTCTAAACAAACCAAACCATTAATGGGGCAGGTTCGTAATAATTATAAAAGTGATTCAACTTCAAGTAAGATTGTAGACGATATATTCGAAGAAAACATTAAATGCGGGTTAACAGTGACCTATTAAAAGTACTTATTTCGCCTCCCTGCATGCTACAAAGTTGGCGCGAGTAATTATAATCAGTTTGGTTTATTTAGAAGTAAAAAAAAAAACTTTTCAAAAAAGGAAGTAAATTTAAAGATGACTAATATCAATCCTTCAAAAACAATGCAAACAAGATAGTAGGGATAGCATTTGCATCATCCCTACATACATAAAACAAGCACATAGTGTAGTAGAATGTTAACAAACAAAAATAGGATAAATTAAACTCAATTGTGATTGTACAGTTATATATATTGCTATATGTTAATTCTTGCCTGTGCTAGTATATAGGGATGATGCAAATGCCATCCCTGCTATTTTGTTTGTATTGTTTTTGAAGGATTGATATTAGCCATCTCTACATTAACTTCTTTTTTGGAAAAGTTTTTTTCTTTATTTGTTTGCTTGTTTTTTTAAAGCAGTTATTCAATAGACATAGGAAGGTTGTATTTATAACCAAGTTCAATAAATTCAATGAGGTTACAACTGTAATACCAATTGTTTATCTTTTATTGATTGGTAATTTCTGTTTCATCCTATACTTAAGCTTTTTAATTAAAGGAACACCCAATTTCTGTAAGAAAGCTAACTTCAAGGGGTAATGATAACATCATTTACACCAGAATTATGATTTTTTTAAATTACTATGAATTCAATCATTACATAGATGTTGTTATAAAAGGAAACACTGTGTAGTATTGTAAAGTTCTGACGACCAATTAAGAAGATATTTAAAATACCATTTTGATGAATAATCCAAGCTATCCCTACATAGGTAGTGCTGCCGCCTGCCTGATAACAGTTAGATGTTCAAAGATTTTGCTACTTTGTTTGCCCAATACTTTGATAGTATAAATCCTCAGTGCTTATCTATTGAAGATAATATATAATCATTTAACACAAATATACTTAAAATACACCAAGTAAAAAAATAAGAAAAACTTATGCTAAATATTTTAATAATAGTATATTAACTTCACAAGTCAATTTACGGTATAGTAACACAAATAAGTCTTCGTGTACTTGAGTTAGCCTTATCTCAAGTGTTGATCTCCGTGTTTTTTAACAGAAAAAATTATGGTTTGTTAAAAAAATATTGTTAAAGAACTATACGAACAGGTTCGTTATTGTACCGCTGCCTGAGCGGAGAATATCTAGTACCACTGTATTCTTTCATAACGTTACCCCTCGGGTAAATTGGAACGCTAGCCAATGTGACCGAGTGAGCGCAATAATTACAGGGCTTGGAACTACAACAGGAAAACCAGGAACAAGGAAAATCTACAACCTGGATTTAAAAATGATCACCGAGTGTTTTTGAAAAATAATTTTCCTTGTCGTCTGAGGATAATTTATATAATTCAAATCTATCTTACACGCAGCTGTAACATAACATAAACGACGTTTTATTTTTATTTTTTTTGTAATGGAAAATACGTGTCTTGTAATTTCATACAACTTTTGGTTGCTATCAATATATTCAACTATAAAGTTATTTGTAGAAACTGACATATTAAGCGGTTACTAGAAATTTATCTCCAAGTTAACATAAAACGTTGATATGGAAACATAGATCGAAATATATATTAAAGTACACTTTCTGTAATACTATTTTTATCAGATATATTTTAAAATTAGTTTAACACCATCCAATATATTTTATTTTGATATACACTAAATGGTACGTTAAAATACGTAAAAGCTGCGTACGTTGTTTGTATGTGATGCTGAAAATTTTTACCTAATCTTGATGCTATTATACTGTCAAACAAAAATTAAAATGAAACAACCCTGCCCAATTCTTCTTAAATTAACAAAATATAAACGCATTCCGAGTAGCAGCATATTTACTAAAGGTTGTGTTTATATAACATTGACATTTATAACATCGAAATAATCCGACTTAAAATACTATTTTAAATTACCTACAGTCCCACCCACTACAACACTGTAACAAGACACGCGCTGGGATACTTGTCTAATAACCAATATTATAACATATTTAGCTCTGATCTAAACCTTCCTTCTAGCGCGCTAATGTGCCTTACTATGGTCTCAACCTGTAACAAAACACGCGCTGGAATACTTGTCTAATAACCAATATTATAACATATTT